CTTCTGTGCAGCTTCTGCACTGGCAAAGCCAACTGGACTATTGATGATTTCAAATACAGGACGCACTTTTCTCATCACCGCTTCCTGCAGGAGAAGCAGCTCACGTAGCTTTCGCAAGCGCTCGGGTCGAGGCAGCGGGCAAAGGTAAGGTTGTGCTAACCCAAGTTTACTCAGGGCCAGCACGAGGTAGTAATAGTGACGCGGCGCCCATTTCATGCTTCTTCTTGGGATGGTGAACGATACGCGTGATGCCAGCTGGAGAAGGTCTTGGGCGACGCGCTTTGAAGCGGGCTTCAAATGGCTCTCTACCACTACCGACAATGCGGAAATCTCCACGACCGCCAAGCTCACAAGAAGAGAAACGGCCCTGTGACGCGCTTTTACGGGGAGGCTCAGAAGGGCAGATTCATTTGGTTTCACGAGACTTTCAAAGGAAGTTACGATGGCAGAGGCACGCTCAAGTAACTCAGCCTCTTCTTGTCCGTCACCCAATGGCCGCATAGAGGCAGCGTTTCTCATGAATGTGCAGTCCACTGCGAAGTCATGCTCTGTTTCAGCAGAAAGAATCCTGTTTCCTCCTTCATTCCATCTTCTTTTGCCGAGCTTAGACGCACAAAGCGAAACCATGTATGCCACTGCAGTGGCTGCAACGGCCAGCAGGAACATAGCTCGAGTTCTGGCCAGTTGTCTGGCTCCACGCCTCGCAGCTTTATAAGGCGGTACATCCTCAGAAGTAGCATTGTTGGCTGGTAGCCTCCCCTGTGGATTCGTAGGCGTTATGCTGGTGCACGAGGAGTCTAGCCCAGCATTCCTGTTGCGCCGGAACGATCTGGCAATCGGCTTGCCTAGGACCTTCTCACTCTGCCCCTGCATTGCGGACAGTGAGACGTTTGTGTATCGGAGCATTCATATGAGTTGGGGGCCGCTGCCGGGAAGCTCCTTGGTCAGATATCTGGGTATGGGTGACCAATCGAATACTAGGACAAGGGCATGCATTGAAAGATCATCGAGCCCACAATTTTCAGCTGCCTGGCAGCAAAACCACAATTCGATGAATTCAGATGGGGCCAGATAAGGGAATCAGTCTTGCTGCTGCCAACGCAACATAAGCGGAGCAGCTGAACGACACGCGTCCGGCGGTGCTGCAAGAGGCAACAGTGGCGCCTTTCTCACTAAATCTACAACTGAAGGTCTACCTTGCGCAGACAACTACTAGGAATTCCGATCTCTCCCTGGGAGATGTAATTCCCACCATAGCGGATCACCCACAGGCTTCGGCAAAGTTCTCTCACGTTTCGGTTGAATGTAACACGTGCATTCGTGAGAGATAAATCCCTTTGCTGGTGTTTAGCCTGAGAAGCTACGTATAGTTCAGTATCTCTGTTCCTTCTTATGTGTAGTGAAGTTTCACAGGTAGGTCCTTCGCCCAATGTGATTGCTGTGATGAGGTCTGCGCCACTCTCTGTCCATGGCACCTGTCTCTCGCAGCCAAGTCACTACACGCGATTGCGTCTTCAGCTTTCATAAAATCTTGCATTATTCTCAAGTAACTGCTTTATTTTCTTGCCTTCTTTGGTTTCGCTGCGAACACGCTGCTGCTGGCAATGCCGAGTACCAATGGAGTTCCAATCCTCATCGATGAAGCACTGAGCAGAAGGGCGCATTGCACCACTCATTTCTCGAAATTTGCTTTAGAGTTATGCCTTGTGGGAGTCTACAGTAGTTACAGTAGTGTAACACAAAGAGAATTTGCAAGGGAGAACACGGTGATCTACGAGCCGCTGCCCTATAGAGCATGGGCAAAATTTACATTGATAGATATGCTTATTTGGCAGATGTGTTTAAGTTGATTATCCAACAAAGTAATCAGTCTTTATGGCAGGGTTCGCTGTCTTCTTCTCTGTTTACCATGTGAGCCTAGAGAACAGAAGGCAGGAAGCATGCACACCTCCGCCTAAATGTATGTATTCTGGCGCTCTGTGGATCGCACTTTGATTTTCAGTAATTTTCCGCATATTCGTCGTGCCAGTAGCTATTCGTCGTGCCAGTAACTTGCCTGTTTCTTTACTTTTACTGACTGCAAATCTAGTAGTCTCAGGCTTCCGCAGTTCTCACTACCGTGTCCATGCTGTATCTACTGTCGCCCTCTTTTCATGCGCCAGTGTGTCAGAAGAAGAATATCAGCAGTCCGCTCACCATCTACAGAATTTATTTACGTTTCAATTGAACAGGGATGGTGAAGCAAAGGATTGTTGACTGCTATGCCAGTCTCCTACGAACCACAGCTGCAAGGAGTTAAAGGTAACGGCGATTAGTAGCCATCCGAATGGTTTTTTTCCCGAAGCAGGAAGAGTGAATGCATGGAGCTTTCATATGGCAGTGAAAGAGGCCACAAGGATTATTCTACTTTTTGCTTCACCTCTGTAAAACAGCCGCCTCATCCCATCGGCTGTCCTGCCAATAAGGCTCGAAGCTCCCGATATTTCAGGGGACGACGTTTCAGGCAGTACAACACTTTTTGCAGCAGCTCATATCCGTGTTTGTTGCGGTGAAACGGCAAAGCAAGTTTGCAGTGCGTCCAATCATATATAGTTTATTTACACTTGCCCTGTGAAAGAACTGTTCGTCTCACTTTTTTCCTTTCAAAATCCCAATTTTTCGTCAATTTCCAGTGCCTTGATCAGATGTATATGGGCACTCCATACCATGGAGATGAATCGCTGCCATACCTCAAGTTATCCATAGTTCTACGTGGCTGGATACCGCTTCGTGGTATGCTAACTTATTCATAGCGCTGAGGCGTTGCAAACACTCACCATGCTCCAACCGCCTATACAAAGAGCTCTCTTGCTTAGCAATAGATATCGTGCGAAGAAACACTGCGGCATTTTTGGCTCGTGGCCAAAAAATAGCTGCTCTGACCCACAAGTGTAGACGTCTAAGGATTTAAAAGGAATAGTGAGTGTACTTCCAAGAAAAACTTATTAGAATTCAGCAAGCTAAACACTCGGAGCTTGTCCAGCAAAAGTTATTGTGCTTTGTACACTTCAAAGAATAACAAAATGCCCATATACGAGCAACGAAGTCTGACAGATAGGGAATCCGCTAATGATAGCAAGATCGAACACAGTTATGGGGTAAAGGGAAATCTTGTACATTTGCCGCAGCTTGAGGAGGCGATTTCGACGCTCTTGGCGGTGTGACTCCAAAGGGTACACTGAAGCGTATCATATCACAGTTAGAGAAGCCCATGAATAGCAAGAATCCAGCAACTAAACCTCCAAAATACCATCCACGCTACTCCTCGTCCCTGCAGCAAATGGCGGACTCCCACCCGCACCATAGCTGTTAGGGTCATATTGGCTACAGCTTGAGAGAAGCAAGTGTATTGATTTCCCAGCCAGATAACAACTTGCTTGAGGTGATAAGTAAGTGGATTAAAATAATTAATAATTTTCCTCTGAGCCACTGCAAGGAAACGCACGACACCCTGCTGTCTTTTCAATGGCACTGTCAGATAAATTTTACCCCTTACATTGCTGCGATAAGCCATGAAACAGCATGGCTTATCCCACTTCAGCAAAAGCCCTCAAGACGTAATGCATGAAGAATTCACAATGCTTTGATTTTCAAAGGGATCCACAACGTCGGTGCATTGTTAAAATTTGCGGCATGGCTGTTCCTGCCAATATATCTTCAGCTGTATACGACACACTTCACATCTAGCATCTATCATCTACATTAGAAGAATTGAGACGCTTGTAGGTGATCCTAGAAGGTCGAACTCACGGCAGTGTCGGCTAGTGCTTCCGTAGTTACTCAGCAGTTGTAAACGGGTCGTGTTATATGAAAACAGATTTGACAGGCTCTGCCCTTAGTTTAGGCGACGTTTAACCCGCCGTCTTCATCAGTCTTCTTGTTTCTATTCGGTTGCGTAACTTGAGAAACTGACCAGCTTTGACTCGAGGCTGCATCCACTTCCACGGCTTCAGCAACAACTGACCTCTTCAGCCCTCCTGTATTGGACAGGCGTTACAATAGGGCTTGCTGGTGACTGTAAGAAGATACCTAACTGGTGACCTATAAGAGGTTAACACGCTGAACGAGGACAGGACCTTCTTACTAGTATCGAAGTAAGGCAGTTTATCAGCAAATTAGCATGTACAAACTAGACATGCCTGTGAATTCCTGGAGATGGGGGCTGGCGATAGCGCCGGCACCGGTGCAAGTGTAGTACACTGCGTTCTCTACGATGCTACATTGCCCACAACTCGGGAGTTCTAAGAAATATTCTCTACTACCGACGCATCGGTCGCGTAACGTCTACAAATGTATTAAAAAGACCGTTTTTGTCTCGAGTTCTCAAAACCATATTTTCATAAAGTCATTTTCTCTTGTTCTTGCTGTGCTGGTCCGGTGAGGATGTGACGCGCACCTGTGCCGGCTTTGTCGGCAGCCCCAATCTTAGAGCATTCGCAGACATTTCTAGTCTCTACATGTTAATTTGTTAATAAATTGCATTTTATTTCACTAGTAAGAGGTTACAGCGCTCAATCCGCGTCTCAACCTCTTAAGCGCCTACAGGTCATCAGCTAGCTATCCTCTATAGGCCACCAACAAGCCCCATTGTAGTGCCTGCGCACTACAACTTCCCCCCTTCCCGGACTGAGCTGGCCTACCACAGCATATTACTTCTGCCTTTTCAGTCTTTACTCCCTTGTGAAGCTAATGCCATGAGAGCATGCGGTACGCAGCGCTTCCTTCACCCCCTTGTCATTGAAGGCCGTCGTGTGGCGGCAGTTGACGGGCCCAAACAGCTACGCGTCGGAAGGAGCAAGAGTGTTTCGAGCCCGTCTTCTCTGACGGCGGTGCCAAGCACGGAGCAAAGCCTGACATCCTGTAAGGTGGTGAGCGGGCTCCTATGTAGCTTGATCTTCAGGGGTCCCGCGCCACTTCACAAGGTACTGAGCTTCATCTCCCGAGCCGCGTTGGTCCATAATCTAATCGATTTCATACTTTTCTGTCAAATTGCCTGCCGCATTGCGGATAGGGGGCCAGGCGGTATCGGCTTCCTGGGGAGCCATGTCAGGAGGGCGGGGGCGGTGGGGAACTAGCTGCGGAACATGAAAGACGTTGTGGCATTCATAAGTAGGAGGTAAAGCGAGACGGTAAGCAACGGTCCCTATGCGTTCAATGATTTCAAAGGGTCCTCGGTAACGGATCTCGAAGTTAGGGCAGCTAGAAGAAGCCGGTAGATGCTTGCTGCTGAGCCATACCTTGTCGCCCACTGCATACTCCACAGCTCGGCGCTTTTTGTCTGCGTAATATTTCTGCTGCCATTTCGCCTTCTGTGTGTGGCTCTGCGCTCTGTCGCAGAGCTGCCGGAAGAGCTTAGCCATCGGAGGAGTGAGCGTAGGAGCTAACGCGCCTACGATATCAAGACTCACAGCAGACAGCGGGTTCTCGCCGATCATGACCTCGAAGGGAGAGAGCTCGGTGGATGAATGGCTTGTCCTGTTATAGGCAAGTTCCAAGGCGGGAAGCAAACGCACCCACTCGCGTTCGTCGGATTGGATGGAGGTACGAAGCATCTGCTCCATTGTGCTGTTAACCCATTCAGTTTGACCGTTGCTTTGCGAATGGTAGGACGAGGACATGCACCGTTTGATGTAAAAGCGGCGACATAGTTGCTGCCAGAGGTCCGACTGGAAGCGGGGGTCGCGGTCCGATATGAGTACCTCTGGAAATCCGTGGTAGCGCATACGAGAGTTTGCGAGAAGCTCCACAGTGTCTGCTGCTGTGGATGACTTCTTTGCAGGAACGAAATGACACATCTTGCTCAGAGAGACGACCATCACGAGAATCGAGTCGTGCCCTGTCATCGTAAGGGGAAGATCCGTGATAAAATCGACGCTCACGTGCGCCCACCGACGCGAAGTGGTGAGTAGCTGTTGAAGAAGGGCTGCAGGTTTCTGGCTCAGAGACTTAGACGCACGACAGTGAGTAGAGGATTCAACATACGCAGTAGTGTAAGCACGCATCCCTGGCCAGTAGTAGTGCTTGCTCAGAGCCGTGAAGGTCTTCTTCTGGCCTCGATGACCCGCTGTGACATGGCCATGATGTGAGTGCAAGACATGCGTGAGGAACTCTGGAAATTGTGGAACACAGATTCGCCATAGTCCATGGATACGAATATGCAAGTAAGGCGGCACATAGCGAAAGGTGACTTGACGATGGCGAAACTATATCTGTATAGCGTCTCCTGGTTGTTTTGCAGCGACTTTGTAGGGAGCGTGGAAAGCAGGACACTTCGAGTAAGCTTGCGTCCATTCAGACGCCTCAGGAGGGTCAGCTCGCGTCTTCGTTGCAGGTGTGGGATGTTCCGCCTCTGGATTGGACCCAGGCGGCGGAGTTGTAGGTGGTGAGGGCAAGGTGCGTTGCCTGGATCGTCGCGAACGAATTCCGGCGAGCTCCCTGTAGTTAGCAGGCCGATCATGAGATCGAGGAGCCGCACGCGTTTGTTCTACTGCAAGCATCAATGGTGTCGTTAGTGTGTCTTGCGAGCAGGTGTTAGAGAGACCGGGACGGCGAGACAAGGCATCAGCCACCTGGTTTCGCGCTCCTTGAATATAAGTGATGTGCAAATCCGGGAACTCGGGCAGGAAGTCTAACCACCGAGCGGTGCGTCCGCGCAAAGGCTTCGATGCTTGGAGCCGTTAGAGATGCGTAAGAGCTTGGTGAGCTGTATGAGCTGTAATTTTGGAGACACGGAGCAAATGAGACCACTTATAGTGCACAGGCACTACAATGGGGATTGCTAGTGACCTAGAGACGATAGCTAGCTAGCGACCTACAAGGGGTCGCAACACAGGACCCTCCTACTAGGATAAAAGTGAGGCAAATTGTCTATGAGTTAATATGCATACGTGAAATGTGTGGAAAATGTGTGGAGACTAGGGCTGGCGATAGCGCCGGCACCAGTGCAGGCCTCCTCCTCATAGGGCCTAGGAGGCGAGCTCCCAGAGTGGGGCGAATCGAACAGGTAGATTTTGAAAAACTTAAGATTTATTGTATTTCGATAAAAATAAGCTACAGTTTCCAGGAAATGGGCCTACGCTAGGTGCCCTTTGTAGGCCCTGCTCGAGGGGCAGGTAGTAGAGTAGTCGCAGCAGTAGGCGCTGTGCACTACATTTGGGGGCTGTTCCGGGATTGAAATCTTTGTTCTTTCCGGACCTGAGAGTAGAAATACTATGTTTTAATAACTCATGCCTAGAAATCTTCGCTCGGTAAGGGATGCATCTCCGCAACGGACGCGTTATCAGCCCCACACCGCAGGAGACTTCTACAATGTCAGTCAACAAAATGCCGAGCGGGACGCCAGCCCATCATCGCCACGCGACTCCGAAGCCCACCGTGGCAGAGCGGCCGCATGGGCATAAGGAGGCTCCCCCGCAGGTGATACCTATGACCAATGTTATGCCAGGGGACAGTCCCTTCGTCACGTGGGACCAATTCCAGTCCGCTATGAGTGTGCTAAGAACTGTTATAGGGGGGACCCGGGGTCCATTAGCTTGGACGGCAGCCCTAATGGCTCGACTGGTCCTTTCTCGGAGTTCCAGCACACTCTGCTTGGGCTCGTAGAGCCGTGTTGCGGCTTTCGCCGCTTGTTCTCACGACTGATATTTCACCTGTCCGTTATTGGTTATTAGAAGATAGAGGTCTGTCGGTAGCCCGGTGCAGTAATAGTCCGCGAGTTCGTGGGGGGCAAGACCCAAACAACGCTCCGCTACAGCCGCAAACCGGTCCGTGTATTATGCCAGGGGACAGTCCCTTCGTCACGTGAAACCAATTCCAGTCCGCTATGAGTGTGATAAGAACTGTTATAGGGGGGACCGTGGAATCCGGCGCAACGACTCCCATACTACCAGAAGACGGCAGCACTATGCAGGCCTTTCTGCTGCGCATCGAGCGCCGGTACATCCAGATGGGATTGGAACCTCGCGAGTGGGGAAATGCAGTTATTGACCACCTTGTGGGCCCGGCTCTAACGTATTGGATGTATCTACGGAGAACTATCGACCTAAGCGACTGGGCGGCAGTACAGCGCAGGCTTTTGGGGCGGTTTGACAGAACAATGTCGCAGAGTCAATTGTTAACGGAGTTGGCTAAAGTACGGTGGAATGGTAAC